TAGGGAAAGTGCTGCAAATGCATTTGTTTATGTGCGTGGGCAAAGGAGAGGGTTTCCTAAGCCTTTTGAGGGATTAAAAAAAAGTAAAAATTTGTTTTTCTATCAGTGCTCTGTGGACGCAGGATGAAGCAAACAGTAAATATTTATGTGAAATGTATAGAAAAGGGAGACTGTGAAAGAGTCAAAGCGCACACACTATTGCAGTGTGACAATGTCTTACTGTAAATATAAGACAAATACAAATCACTGGTACTTTAGGATAAGTCTTGATTAAGATTCAGTTTTGAAATGATCATTGTTGTGTGCAGCTTCTTGGTATAAAGTATTTTTCTTTCTTTTATTCCTTAGCAGTAACAGCAGTCCCGTGAAAACAGAATGTTTTATTTGCAAGATAGCTCTTACTGTGTATTTCTTACCTGAAACTATTTTCCTTTCATTAGCTAGAAACATCATCCCTTGGGATGCTTTACTGTGAAGCATGCCAAAAATATCCCATGGGAGCATTCTTCTGCTAGCAGAGAAAGAGATGAGAGTTCTCCTGTAGGTATTTTTCCCAACTTCGATTTCTAAAAATGTAGTAGCTCAAAAGATCCATTAGATCCCAAATTTCCTTTGAGTAAGGGTAAAATAATCCTTTTATGTTGAATTGTAATATAATGATATAAAACTGCTTTTTATTTTTCATAGGAAGGAAAGAGACACAAATAATCATCTGTGGTTTTGAAGCAGACCAACTTGGAAATGGGTGTAACAAAGTCTTTTAAGAAATGACCGGTTTTATTTTATGCAGTAGTTGCTAAGTGAGTTACTCAGGATATTACTAATAATTGCTATGTTAAGTTAAATAATGCTTGAAATCTCCATTTTTCTGCTTGACTCGTGCTTGAAAGATGACCTCTGCAACAAAAATAAGAGATTTGTTTAGGTTACAGTAAAAACTGTGGTATTGACATAACCCCGTAATAACTGCATTTGAATTTGAACACTGTGTGCTGGATGCCTGCATAAAATGATGCTTATCAAAACTATGCTATTAGTCACTGAGAATTGTGGTATACAGTACTTACTTGAGGATTTTCCTGTTTTTTTCTTTGTCCACCTAGTGTTGAGGGCGAGGCTCCAAGCAGTGAAACTGGCACATCTTTGGACAGTCCATCTACTTACCATCAAGGACCTATAACACACAGTTCAGCCGTAAGCCCAGACCATTACGATCACTCTGCTTACGGGCTCTATTCTGTCTCCCCTGGGCAACAAAGATCCCGGAGGCCGAAACTTCAGCACTCAACATCCATACTGCGAAAGCAAGCAGAGGAAGAAGCTATTAAACGGTCAAGATCACTTTCTGAGAGCTATGAACTCTCTTCAGATCTACAGGATAAGCAGGTATTTGAGCTATGTTACCGTATTTATAGAAAAGGGAACATGTCTGTAAACTAGGAAAAATCTTTGATGACTTAAGTTGTGCTGCTGAAAATACCATTTTTTCTGCAACCAACATACTTCAATATAGGCATAGTATTACCGAACTTTTTGACTCTTTCTCTGTGCTCCCCTCCCCCCCCCAGCCAAAAAACACCTAAAAGATGTTAATAATGTTAAAAGTAAAAACAGTTCTCCCAGGAATTGTGATTTCATGCTTGGGACTCATATTGTTTATAAGAATGTAACAATGCAAAATATTTATCTAAGAAAATGAGTCATTTTAAACTCAGGATGTCTTTGTTGTTGCTTAAAGAAAGGAACAGATTATTTCCACGAGCCTACTCTCAAATCTGGTATGAATTTGAGGTCTTTGCCTGGTTGAGTAAAACCCAGTAAAACATATATAGGCTTTGCTAAGACCTGGATAGAAGCTGTGTAAATGTACAAAGCCTAAGGAGACACTTCTGTAAGACAGTGCACCTCAAGTGTACGTGTCAAGCTTTACTCTCGGTGTAGTCTTATTTGAAAAATGTTTATTGCCATATGATTTCCATATTCACCTTTTGAAACCAATGTCTTTATAGTTCAAGTAAACAAGTATGCATTATATGCTTGATTTCAGTGCTGGATGAACAATAGCTAACACATCAATATATGTTTTTGTTAGAGATCTTTCTTGTCACATGATACTTTATTTTACTGCAAATCTTTGTGGTGTGTTGCACAGTCTCTCCAACTTGTATGTTAACATGGGCAACAAGAAAGCAGGCAAAGTGCTGTAGACAGGAAGTGAGCTATTCCTGATTTTGGGCCATATATTGATAGCAGGTGAAACTCATACGGGTTAAGTCTCATTTGCCATCTATTTGTTGTTCCAAAAGTTAAGCTTATGTTAGCTCTGCTATTAAGTTGGACTTCCTTCTGAGCTCTAAAACGTTACTTGCCTTTCCACCTTTGATAGTCGTTTTTGCTAGATATTGCTTAAGAGATTGGTATGGAGTGTGTTAGGCTTACTAAAGAGGTCTCCTGCACTGAAGATATTCCACAGAGCCTAATTCTGTCTGTCCTTTTCTGCCAGTTTGACAGAGAATCAGGATTGCAAATGTTACTTTGTATTTGTTCAGGGAGTCCTACACAGTGAAAAGTCACAATGAAGATTGATACCTGAGAGTTGCTCATTACTTTTGAAAAGCTCTCATTGAAATCTCACAGGATATTTAAACTATTTAGGAAAATGTCTTAAGGCTTTAACCAAAGGTAAGATATGCATTAAAATTATTAAGAATTTTAGCCATGAGTCTAATAAATCATGTAGGTGGTTTCCAAAATAGTCTTGATTTAAAAATCCCACCAAACCCTGCTAGTTTATGACAATCAATGATGATATCATTTTCTGTGTGAACCCAAAGGACAATAAGCTTTTTGCAAGAATAAAGTCCAGACAATTTTTGAGATAGTTTATTTTATAGACTTTTAGATTATATTTCATTTTTTCACACCAGCTTTACGAGTTTTCTTTTCCTTCTGTTTGACATTTAGTTTTGAAAGGGCAACTAAATTAATGAGTAATTCATAGTTTGTTTTGAGATTAGTCCAGCAGAATAATCTCTTACAATGCATTACACACACATGACCTAATGTATACTACTGATAGAAATGGTAGCAAACGTATGACAGCAGTGGCAGGGTTGTTATAGTTCTTAATTGTTTTTTTTTTTTTATATATATTCAGAATGGCATACAAGTAACCTCATTTCCTCTCCAGGCAACGCGTAATATTAACCCCACTTTAGGATGAAAGACTAGGTAGCTTGTTAAAGACAGATTGTAGAAAATTATTCAGAGAATTACAGATTCCTAGCTCAGAGATCGGTCACAGCTTTTTGAGCTCAGTTGAACTAAGTTTCAGGATACAACCAGAGGAGCAGTTCTTTAGCAGTAGTCCTGTTCTGAGCAGCCAGCTTCCTCATTTACACCAATAACTGTGCATAAGAGTTTATGCATCTAAATACAAAAGCAGATCAGTGATTTGAATTTAAAAACAACCTAGCCACAAAAGAGATCACTTTTAATGTGTAAGGGGAATGGGAGCTGCTGAGCCCTGGCGGTAGCACTGAAAAAAATGCTTCTCCAACTGTGCCCAGATGACAGACACAATGGGCTAGAGAATATTTTTAGTAGCGTTTAACTGCAGCTGGTCACACTGAATGGGGAAAAGGCCCTCTGTGCATCAATATCTGATCTTAACAGTTGCTTAGAGAGGTCCCTCAAGCATGGGGTGTGTGTATGTGTGTAAATAAAACATAGGGACTAATGGAAAAGGGTACCTGGATTTGGGAGAGTGGAGAAATGGCATTTGAGAGTTATGAACATTGCATGTGTATAAGCAAAAACAGCTGCCAGAGAACTGGCATTTTGTATGGGTAGTACTACACATGCTGATTTGTCATGGATGTTTTGTGTTTGTGAACAATACGGACCCAGCAAAGACTAATCAGAAAGACAGAAATTAAATACTGAAGAAGGAAAACAAAGGAACTAAAAAGATATTCATCTGGTTCAGTGGTTTCCAATAAGTGCTATTTTTCCGTAGGAAAGGTCTGAAAATATCTAATGAGTAACAGTATTCCAAAGGTATTGACATTTCATTTTTGCTAGGTTAAATTGATAGCATTTATAATGTATTTATTTTGCATATTCATTCTGTTCATTGTAAATACTAATAATGTTGAGTCTAATTACAAAAATGGAGGCAAATTTGACATTTCTTTTAGAAACTCTGAAAAATATAGTCAGTGTGTGTGTTTGTAATCTCTCAGAGCGCCATCTCCTGAACCATATGGTCTGGGAGTTTGAGATTTCCTTTGATCCTAGGCCTAGGTGAAACTATGCTACCTGGTTTTTATTCATGTGGATAGTGACACATGCCTGGTAAGATGATGCCACTTTTAGAATTTACTACCAAATTATGGCAAATATAGTCCTATTTTGTCTGCTTTGACAAGGGCACACCAATCCAAACGTGTGAAAACTCAGATTTAAACATACACATGCACACAAATTGCCAGCACCTTAATTTTATATGACACAGTTCACATATCCCTATTTCTGTGTCTGTATTTTTATGGTATGGAGCTTCATGTTTTTACTTTCAGAAACAGTATACACCAACGTGAAAAGTTGTTGAAAGTTATATTAAAATCTTTATTTTATACTTTGAAGCCATTGCCGTGTTCTAACCCCCATCAAGGTACAAAGTAATTATGTTTCTTCCTTTTATAGGTGGAAATGCTAGAACGGAAATATGGAGGCCGTCTCATAACTAGACATGCTGCTCGTACTATACAAACAGCTTTTCGCCAGTATCAGATGAACAAAAATTTTGAGCGTCTTAGAAGTTCTATGTCTGAAAATCGCATGTCAAGACGCATTGTACTGTCCAATATGAGAATGCAGTTTTCCTTTGAAGGACCTGAGAAAGTCCACAGCTCTTACTTTGAAGGAAAGCAAGTTTCTGTTACAAATGACGGGTCAAAACTGGGATCCCTGGTACAGTCTGAATGTGGTGACCTTGGAGAGTCAGCTACAATGAAGTCTCCAGCAGCATCTACTGATTTTGCAGATGCTATAACAGAACTGGAGGATGCTTTTTCCAGGCAAGTGAAATCTCTTGCAGAGTCCATTGACGATGCACTCAATTGCCGTAGTCTTCATTCTGATGAAGTCCAGACTCCAGATCAAGTCAGAAGTCGTGAAATGGAAAGGGACAGTTGCGCTCAAACTAAACCAGCAATCCATAATGTGGATCACAGGAAGCTCGATGAGATGACAGCATCGTACAGTGATGTGACGTTATATATCGATGAGGAAGAGTTATCCCCACCCCTTCCCCTTTCCCAGTCAGTGGACAGACCATCCAGCACAGAATCTGATTTGAGGCTCCGGTCAGTGAACTCTTCTCAAGAGTACTGGTCCATGACTCACAAAGATGATAAAATAGACACTGATACAAGCTGCAGGAGTACCCCCTCCCTGGAATGCCAGGAACAGAGAATGCGAATGGATCATCTGCCATTACTAACTATAGAGCCCCCCAGTGACAGTTCAGTGGACTTGAGTGATCGCTCAGAGAGAGGTTCGTTAAAGAGACAAAATGCATATGATCGAGGAATCACTAGTCAACAAGGAAGCCCAAAACACATCCCTCACAGTATTCCTGGCAAGATTATATCCCGAGAGGAACAGGAGGCAAGACATAGGCCTAGGCCTATAGATAGTCATTTAGCTATTAATGGCACAGCAAACAGGCAAAGCAAATCGGAGTCTGATTATTCTGATGGAGACAATGACAGCATCAACAGCACTTCCAACTCTAATGATACAATAAATTGCAGCTCAGAATCTTCTTCTAGAGACAGCCTAAGGGAACAAACCTTGAGCAAACAAACGTACCACAAAGAAACTCGTAACAGCTGGGATTCCCCTGCCTTCAGTAATGATGTTATCAGGAAACGCCATTATAGAATCGGACTGAACCTTTTTAACAAGTAAGTGCAGTGTTTCCTCCTCTTCTCTGTATTTGGTAGAATTGCAGCCACTGGACAAAGAATTTTTAGCTTGTGTCAGGTAAGTAAGACTGCGGTCTGACATTGACTTTTCAGTAGAAGAAAGACAAAAAAAAAAAAAAAGTTTGTTCCTTTAGTGGAGAAGTGGGAGATGTTTAAAGAAGCTGTAGAAAACCTTGACTATTATGACAGGCGGTAGAAAACGATATGCCTCTGAAACTGTGTATTCACATTACTGGGATTGCAGAGATTTCATTTGAACTGTCATAATCTGAAGGTAAGAACAGGTAGGTGATCGGCACTGGAATTCTTAGATTGTTTTCTTCACTGCACCACTGAAGCCTAACCGGCCCGTTTCCCTGCCTCTTGCATGGGCATAATGTAATTACCTCCTCAGACTTACTCTGGCACTCGTGCTTATAAAGCTCCTCAGAACGCTCAGATGAAAGATGGTAAGCGACAGAATTTGTTCCTATTTTTCTTTAAAATATTGTTGGCAGCTTGCGTTGTTGTTTGTAGAAGGCTTTAAAATTCTCTGCAGAGTGCTTCAGGATCTCCCTGAAAATTGTCTAGCTTCTGAAGAGGTAGTAGATATTTCACAGTGTCCTGCCATAGGCCTTGCCTCACAATTTCCCACAGCTTAAGTTCAGTCGTCCTTTTCAGCTGGCAGTTCTGTGATTTGTTTTGTTGGGATTAATAGGTCAGGGGGTCATTATACAATAAATGTGTTGTAACACTGGAAATAATTTAAGTATTTTGATGCCTTAATGTGCGGTCATGCATTACAGTAATATAAGTATGGATCAGCCAAGTTTGGCTGTAAAAACTTTCAAGTTTTCTTGTTTTTTTTAAATCTTTGTAAAAGAAGTTAATAGGCCTTTTTAGGAGCCTTTAACCAATTAGAAGGGTATAAGTCAAAGGATCTTTGCAAACTTTTTGTGCTCGTGAGGTAGGTGGGGTAGGAAGGTATGGCAGTTTGTTTGTTTGTTTGTTTGTTTGTTTGTTTGTTTGTTTTTAGCATGTTTGAAAACACTAATACCCTTTGGTGGTAGGGGGAGAAGGGGCTGGTAATGTCTGGCCCATGTTTAAAATAGTGTTTGCTCTTTGTGTTGTAATTAAGACTTAAGCAGTCTATGATGAGTGAACTTCAGACTTGATAATATAGTCTTTTGAGTCAGCTGCAGAAGGTGGAGGAGGAAAGGGTGAATGGAAAAAGTGCTCAAGCAACATGCAGAGATGAATGAGAGCATGGGAAGTTGTCAGATGCTTCCCAGTCATGTCATCATATCAGTAGGAGACTTAGAGTGGAAAATCAACATCAGGAGTAGAAAAGAATAGAGGAGACTGTTCTTTAAAAGACATCTAAGACATCTTGCTGCATTGTCTTGTGTGCTGGAGAATAGACATATATATATGTATATGTATTTTTTTATATACTTACATATATAGCTTTTGACTGCCTGGGAGATGACTTCTTGCAGTTTCTGAGCGGTGAATGCTAAAACATAGCACTGCACAGAACTCCAGGCAGCAGCTCTGTATGTGATCTTGTGCTGTGTTTTTCATTCCCACCCTGTTTTATCTCCTGTATTGATACAGAACTGAAAATTCTCAATACCTTCTGCTGCGTCGCTCTGATTCTGGTGACAGCCCAGGCAGTCCTCCGTTCGCCCAAATGTCTTGCTTTTGATTGTGACTCTTCAAGTCTACAGAGATCGTGACATTTCATTAATGGCCTTATTTCTTCTCTGTGCAGTGTAAAGTATTAAACCATCACAGAATCTGATGGAGCGTGAATCTGTAAACTCTTTTGAAAAGGTAGCTGGGAAAACTTCCGAGGCTTTATTCTTTAAAAAGTTCAGATGGAAAATATGAACACTTAAGTGGGACTACAAATTGCGTTTTTGAGGTAACTAAAGAGATAGAAATTGTTTTGGGGCACTTGAAGAGATTTACAGGTGATGTTTTCTTCAGTGTGAAGAACTCTTTCTGCATGGTTGCATTAGTTTCCATTAATTTCTGAGCAGCATGCAAATAATATCAATTAGCCCATCGTTCTCAGCACAAGAGGGGAATGTCGTAGCATCTTGTGTGTCCAAGCGTTTCTTGAAAAATAAGTCACAGCCAAGATGCGAGTTCCTTTGAAGCTAGCCATGTCACGTGTAGGACAATGAAAAGGAGGATTGTCTGACCTGAGGTTCGTTACACACGCGCCAGGAAGTTGTCCTGCAGGTCAAATGGACTGTTTAGCAAATCAATCCCATCTTTTCAGTCTCTGTTATGATGTGACCAAAATGCAACTGCCCAGCATCTTGTATGAGAACAGTGTGCTTCTGCATTCAATCCTGTGTTGCGAACTGCTTGTGCTTCCCATCATGCAACCAGCTGTACACTCGCAATGTGAGGCGATACTTTTTTTTTTTTAATCTACTCTCTAGTGTGCAAGTCACTGCAGCAAAATCATTGGGATGTCTTTTGATCTCGTGATCATCCATGACACATTTATGATCTTGTAGTGAGGGAGGAGTACAAATCTCTGCAGTTAGTTCCTGAGAGGATGTGTGCTCCACCCATGCGGAAGGACTGTGCACAGAATTGAAAAGCAGCAGTTTTGGAAGCTACCTATTTCAAGAAGTCAAGATTTTTCCAAACGTCTGTATGTAGCAGAGGAAATTTTAGAGCTATCTTTTACAGGAAGTTCATGTTAATTTTATTGGATCTTTGAAATCTTTCTCACAAATTAAGAGTTTCAAACCTTAATTAACAAATAATCATTTCATTTCTTTCTGGTATATGAAGCTTAGTTGAAATACAAAAAATTTAGAACCTAAGGAGGTAAGTATTTGACTTTTAGTAGAGGAAAATATTTTTGCTCAGCTCACTAGGAGTGTTGAAAGAGTAGGGTTTTAAAAGACATGGAAAGTCACTATCCCTTACCACTGTTGAAATTTCAGGAGATGCTTCATGATTTTTGTGGCTTTCCTTTCACAATAATAATTTTCAGAAGTCAAAGTGCAGTTTTCTTACTAGAGGCCCTTTATTAGAACAGCTGATCATGGGTGGAATTGAAGTTAAGCATGACTGGTTCTAGCATGTCTAGTTCACTTAATTGCCATCCTAATGTTACAAAAACAAAATATCAGTAACAACAAAACATTTTGTAGCACAAAGGTTGTTGGAGAATGGAGAATACAGGACCGTAGAGAAGAAAACTCTAGGTATAAAGAGGAAACTATTTTTTATCAATTCTTGTCAATTGATCATAGAATTTGTTTCAAACTATAACTTGGCACTTAACCTGGAACCTTAGTGTTGATTTAGTGTTCTGCTTTGAAGATGTTCTGCGGTATCCACTCTACCAGAACATCTGCTATCACCAAAGCAGAATGATTTCTGCAGAAGAAATTACAAGTATCTGCTCCTGTACATATTCAGATTTTTGAATGGCAGTAGTGAATATACGCTGCGCATAGGCTGTCAACTTGTGTGTTAACATTCGTTGCCTTCCAAAAGGAAGGGCTACAGGTACATACCCAAAGTACAAGGGCTCCCGGGGAAGCTTGGTGAGGCCAGCTGTGTTGAATTAGGCATTTTCTTCAGCGTACTCAGAAAGGGATGTGGTCTGGGAGAAATGACTGTAGAAACCATCCTTTCCTTGTAGGCAAGAGGAAGACACTACCCCGAAGAGTTTGTTTTGCAGGATCCCAACCCTGCCTATGCAAATCCGGCCTTTGAGACTGGTTTGCTTATGAACATGGCTTCAAGAGGGCTTTTGACTGCTGCTTTAAAAAAAAATAAAATAAAAGGACCATGATTTTATTCTCATGTTCATTTTGACTGCAGTCTGGAAATACCAGGTTTACCAGTTATTGCAGCCCAGTGTGGTAGGACATTCAGGTTCTGCTCCTGGTGCACCGATAATTCTAATAGATTAAACAGGACAGGATGGTTTAACCTCAGCAGTCTGAAGAAACAAGAAACACATCCTACTCTTGGGTCAAATTTGCTGTCAGTAGCAGCAGGTCCTCATTCTGTGCTGCGCTGTGCACGTGTAGGAAGAACTGTATTGCCAGATTCCCGTACGGTGGCAGTAAGTCTGGCTCCCTTCCAGTTGTGTGTGGTGATGAGGTGTGTGAGTAGCAGGGCAATGTTTGTTGTTAGCCCTGGCCCGGATCCCTGTCTCCTCCACTGGAGCGAGACACACCCAGGCGGGCGGTATTGACTAGTGTGGTGCAGTGATTATTCAGCGTTCTCTTGGCAGCGGGGTATACATACAGACATACACCCATTCCTTATTAATAAAGTATTTTCAAGGCAACTTGGGCAACATTGGAGTGGCTTGAAAATATGTTGTGACTGTGCCCAGTATTATAAAATATAGGAGATAAAAGTTTGTGTTCCTCAGATTCATTTGTTAATCTAGCAGGGACTGGAATCATATAGAATAGCTGCCTTGGGATGCGAGACGTTGGAAGGCGCTGCTAGCGTGCTCTCATCTGGCAGTTTTCATGCGACGCTTTAATGTTTTTTCCCACCTCAGCCAATCTTACTAGTGGTGTTGCTCTCGTAAACTTCTGACCTTGTCCCTGAGAACAGACTGTAACGTATTGCCTCTGTACCACTTTCACCATACCACTGTGCTTTTGTTAGGCTGTTGCATAATTTTGTTCAGGAGGGGTTTTTTGTGTGATATTTGGAAGGCTTTACAGCCTAATGTGGCATGTGAGACTTGGAGGTAAATTGAGTGTAACGCTGCAGCACAGTACTAGAACAGAGACTAGGCTATAAGTATTTTTACAGTAAAACCACTCTTAAGTTTCCCAGATGCCTTTTCCCCTTTTTGTCCTCTTTTATTTCTGGAAAAGGTAGTGACATATGGAAAGCTGTTCCATGCACGTCTCCTGTCCGTTACAGCTTATCTGTTTTAAAGAGTTTTCTGTATCTTCCTTAATAACAGGCTGATATCAGAGTTACCGCTTCCA